CATACATCAATTGTATCAAGCATATTTGTACATATGTTGCCATCATTATTTTCTAGACATTTACTTTCTATTGAGCCCTTGGTATCAGCTCCTCTCACCCCCACCCCCAACCTTCATGACCTCTTGATAAATTATAAATTATTATTTTCATATCTTATATTGACGGCCTGCTGTCTCCCTTCCCCCACAGTTTCAGTTGTTTGTCCTCCTGGAGGGGTGTGTGTGGTTATGTGTTGATCATTGCGATAGGTTCCTCCCCTCCTGTCCCCACCTTCTGGTATTGCTACTCCCATTCCTGTTCCTGGATTCTGTGTGTCATGAGTTCTTATCTCTCATCTGTACCTGTGCACATGCTCCGGCCTAGCCCTCAGTGAAAGGCAGGACTTTTGTCATGATAGTGGGGGGTGAGGAAGTCTCAAGGAACCAGAGGGATATTGTGTGTTTCATCGGTGCTTTACTGCGCCCTGATTGACTCACCCCTCCCCTATGACCCCTCTGTGAGGGGATGTCCCATTGCTGGCAGATGGGCTTTGGGTCTCTGCTCCCACCCTCTCATTCTCAACAATATGTTGTTTTGTTTGTTTCTGTGTTTTGGGTCTTCTGATGCCTGTTACCCAGTCCCAGCAACATCTCATGATCGCACGATCTGGTGTGCTTCTTTCATGTAGGCTTGTTGCTTCTCTGCTAGATGGCCATCAGCTATAATATTCAAGCAACCTTTTTGCTTCCAATTCAGCTTTTTCACCTCCAGGGCATATTTTATTTCTTGCATTAGGAGGCCACTTTCCTTTCATCTTTGCAGGAAGTCTTCTGTAGCTTGACAAAGACCCTTCATCTCCTGAAACGCAAGAGGGAACTGCAGAAGAGGGTCGCTACATTGGCCGCCATCTTCCCAGCTCCTCTCCTTATTTGTGTTTTTTATGCAGAAATGATCATATTTTAATAAATTACTCTTGGTTGGTAGTTATTCTTAGTATAAAACTCGCTGAACCAAACCCGGTGCCATCTAAATAATCCCTAGGCATAGCGACTCTGTGCAGGGCTCCTAAAGCTGTCAGTCATTGAGAGAGGAGACAGCTGTGTGCTTTCCCCGGGGAGCAGCTGTTGGGTTTGCCCTTAGCAGCCCAAGGCCTAATGCTCAGCACTACCAGGCCTCTTTTTCTTAGAATATAGCTTCTAAAATTCTATTAGTCAATGAAAACATATGACCTGTTAAGCCACTTTGATATATTATTGGGTTGTTTTTTCTGTGTAGACTTAGATAAGTTAGACATCCCAGAACCATGCTCATTTTGGGAACTGAAGAAATATATGCTGTGTTTTAATAACATTGGAATTACAGCTTTAAAAATTACTTTCAAAGCATGTG